AAAAATTCGAGTATTTTTGTCTTATTAATTCGTCTTAAAAACCCTTTTCAGTTGTTTTTATTTTTTCAGTCCTGGTTGACATTTTCATGGAAACACCCATATTCTACCACTCTGAAGTAAGATGGCTGAGTCAAAGTAAAGTGCTCTCAATATTTGTAGCTTTGATGACAGAAATAAAGATTTTCCTGAAATCCAAAGGCAGCATTTTTAACTGATGTGACTGCAAAACTAAATGATTTCAATACAACTTTGCAATCTCGAAATCGATGTATGCATAGAGCAGTTGACAAAGAAAACCTTTAAACATATCCAGAAATCGGTGCGATTTGCAAACTATTTTAGATTATTTTTAGGGAAAGTAATAAATATTTCAAATGAAAACGGCGAGAAACACATAACTTACGTCATATCTATCGATTCAGTGCCAAATTTTGCCGTTTAGTTAATCAATCTCCGAAGAAGGTTTTTCAGATCAAATCGTACGAATTGCAGCACATTCCCATATGTTTACAATAAAATGAATGTTCTTCATTAAAATATTATCCACTGTTGTTAATTTAACTTAACTGTATAAACTCTAATAATAAATAAATATTTTAAAAGGATCAGTTAGTAGAATATATACATTGAATATAAGAAGAGTGAAACGAGTTAACGCAGTTAAGATTGAGGTTAAGCTAGGGGTGCCCGCGTATTATAGCGATAGTTTCAAATAGCCCTTTGTCCAAGTTCTGTTGGACACCACTGGGTTAGAGTGTAAAACTTTTTGGTTTATCTATTTACATATCGTCGTTTAAAGTACAAAACCGCGTATCGTCATTCTGAAAAACCGCGTAACTGACATTGGCTGCCAAAAATTGGATTTGCTCACACAAGCTCTTGGCTCGATCCTTATCAAATATACTAGCCAGAAATGCGATTACTTTATAAAAAAGATAACCATTTTGAAATATGAGTATTTTTACGCTCTAGAAAATAATTTCTACAACTTCACATACGCGGTTTTGCATTTTGTTGATACGCGGTTTTGCACTTTAAACGACGATATTTATTTACACGTATGTACATATAAATATATAGTTAATTGACAAGTTTGATGAAACTAACTAATCATGACAACTGATAATATCAGAGGCCCCAGAGAAAATATGTAAATACATACATACATATCTTTACCTGAATGCGAAACTTTTTTAGAAACTACGTTTTTCACAGATTTTATTATGATATATGTATTAAAATAAACCTCACTAAAAATTTTAAAGAGTTAGTACCAAAAACAACGGAGTTAATCCACTTTTTAAAAATCCTTTGCTGAATGTATGATTTTCTTTTTATATTCTCCTGTAAAATAGAAAATTTGCTGGTTAGAGGCTTTGTGAATTAAGGTAACGATATGTATGTATGTATGTATATATGTACATACACGATTGAGAGAAATAGAGATTGCGCCAATCGCGGTACCGCTAATCCGCTCTTTGTGATTTTGACAGAATGAGCTGTGTGCGTGACGTCATCTTGGTGCAATTGTTGAATGTGAGCATACGAAAAAACCAAATAACAATTTTAATAAGGGTATTCGTTTAAACGTTTAAAAGCCTAATAAACCTCTTAAACTGCGTAAATTTACCAACGCGTAAAAATTTGGCAGCAACTTGTATGAAAATTCTCTTACACATATTATGCAATAATTTTAGTGTGTAAAGAATGCTCGTAAATTTACGATATTGCAAATGCAACCCTTCCAAACGAACAGCCGATGTTTATTATTGGGAAATTTAAAATGGAAGAGGTAAGAATGAAACTTAGAAAGCAAAAACGCCTTCGATTGAAACCGTCCCATCGCTGGACAGACTCGCAGACCCTGCAGCTGCTGTAAGCAGTTTCCGATGTGGTGAGGGAAAATCCAGAATCATTTGAGGTTAGGGTTGCCAGATTCTGAAACGGAGAAAGGAGTACATTTCTATTCTCGATAGAAAAAAAGCAGTACAGAACTTAAAAAAGGAGTAAAATTTTTGTTTTAATTTTTTTTGTGCAGTTTATTGTTACAAATTACCATTATTTAGGTACAAACAAACACGAATATCATAGACATCTTTTTCAAAGCAACAATAAATGTTAAAAATAAATAACTAAATTCTACAAAAGAATATTCCTGAATGTATGGCAATTTTTTTATATTATAATTTAAAATTTTTCTGATTTTTATACCCGAGCGCCCTACCTACCTGCCTACGACCATGCTTACACGTTTTCACTATCACACTTAACTTTACTTACTAAGTAGTGTTTGCCACAATATGAATGGCAAAGTACAGGGCGTAAAATAATAACCGTCGCACAGGTTTTTCGAAAAATAAAAGAGTCCTTTAAAGATTTTGCGAAAAAAAGTATTTTTTGCGAACTTTATAAATAGTTAACTTTGATTTTATTAATTAGTTTTAAAACTTTAATCCTTATTTCCATTTGCCAGCTNCGTCGCACAGGTTTTTCGAAAAATAAAAGAGTCCTTTAAAGATTTTGCGAAAAAAAGTATTTTTTGCGAACTTTATAAATAGTTAACTTTGATTTTATTAATTAGTTTTAAAACTTTAATCCTTATTTCCATTTGCCAGCTTTGGGAGATAAGTAAATGCTTTTTTCAGGTATATTTTTTCTTAGATTTTGTATAAAAAAAAAACTGTATGGGTATAGGGTTGGTCGAATGAATAGCCTCCTAATCACCAGTTCCGAGTCTTTTCGATTGCTGAGTAAGAGGCCTTATTTTGGACAAAAGACGGAGTATAAAGGAGCCAAATGGAGGAAATTAGCCTATGGTTACAGACGATATGGTCACTACACACGAATAAAGGCGAGCTAGTGTTTTGACGGCGAAAAAAGGCGCGTAAAAAAATTTTGCGAAAAAAGATGCTTATGAAAAAATTTGGCGAAGTATGTTAAGAGTCTTTGACGCTGAAGTTTTTTATGCGTCTTTTTTCGCCGTCATTTTTTGAGCTCGCGCCTTTATTCGTGTCTAATGACGATATGTAATAAAGTAACCGACGAACACTTGCGTGCCGCTTGAGCTTTTCTCTCAAAGTGTTTACCGCTGGTAAACGCAAATGAAGGTTAAAATTTAAAAACTTATTAATAAAATGTAAGTAAAGTCTGTGGGTAATTAACAATAAACTACTTTTTTCGCAAAATCTATAAAGTTCCCTTTTATTTTTCAATAAAACCTGTGCAACCGTTATTATTTTACGCCCTATATATGATAAAATATTAATAGCTGGAAAAAGGAGTACAAAAGAAGTACAAAACTAAGAAAGGAATACATTTCCAGATATTTTTTTTTGGAGTACAAGGGAGTACATTACAATAAAAAGAAGTATGTTTACTCCCAAAAGCAGTACGTCTGGCAACCCTATTTGAGGTAAGCATTTTAGATAGAGAAAAATGTTAGTGTATTCAACAACAATTAACATATATCTTCCAGAAACCGACGGCTCAAAGGTTTTATGAGAAATTGCAGCACAATACATCGGCACTTCAATCTGTCCCTTGGTTAGCGATGAAAAGCAAAATGAGATACCTAAAGGCATCGTACGTTGCCGCTGCGGGCTGAAAAAATAAAACTGGGTCTGGAATGCTGGCTAATGGTGACGAATCTAGCATATCAATGAATATCAACAAAACTTGTCCCAACTTTAACTTACTTGAAGAAATCTTCGGGCAACGCAGAAATGTAAATGCCACAGTAATTTTTGAAAGCACAGTACGGCCGATTCCCCTTGTGCTGATAGTTCATTAAATGAGTGCTACGAGTTATGTTCCTTCGAGTCTGAGGATTCAGTTGATCCAGTATTGCCTAATAGCAGCCATTGCAGTGCTGCGGTTACTTCTACACCTCTGAGCTCAGCTAGTTTTAGAAGTTCAATAAAAAAAAAAAAAAAAAAGGGGAACCCCCTTTGATAAATTACTTCTCATTCAGGAGAAAAGGTTGGAACTAGAAGTTACGAAAATAGAATTAGAAAAAGAAAAGGAAAAGAATGAGGTGGAGTTGAAAAAAATTGAACTGAAAAATCAATTGGAAATAAAAAAAATTGAGACTGAATCAGAAGGAGAATCCAATCTGGAAATTGAAAAGCTGAAACTTGCAAGCGAGGAAAGAATCAAAATGTTTGAAATCGAGCTAAAACTCAAATCAAAGTAATTTTGTATGAATATAATTTTTGAGTTTGCATACATACACTAGGCGACAAGCGAAAGTGTGCACCTTGTTGTAATATAATATTTACAATAACTTTCATGCACAATTTTCCCATTAATTGTTCATTTTCGTATAGTTCATTCTATAAATCAAAAGTTTCACACTGTATATAAAGCTAGCAAAAATTCAAAAATTTTCATACATATTTTCAACTTTTTATTCAGAATTTCTGGAAAATTTTCAAGTATGCAGTTTGACGGCCCATTCAATGCTAGTAAACAAAGTGCAAGTCCCAAGTCGCTAAAGATTACCGTTGATTTTGTAGAATTTTTCGCGGAGGGTGTTGCGCGTTTCTTCCATATAAAAATAGTTGTTGTCATGCGTTATATGGAAGAAAACGGACAACACCCTCCATAAAAAAGTTCTAAGAAGTCAACGGTAATCTTTAGCGACTTGAGACTTGCACTCTGTTTGCTAGAATTGAATGGGCCCTCAAACTGCGTACTGGAGAATTTTCTAGAAATTCTGAATAAAAAGTTGAAAATTTGTATGAAAGTTTTTGATTTTTTGCTAGCTTTATATAAAGTATGAAACTTTGATTTATATGGTTTATATTATAGAATGAACTATATTTTCAAAAACAATTAATGCGAAAATTGTTCATGAAAATTATTGGGAATATTATATTAGAACAAGGTGCACACTTTCATTTGTCGCCTGTCGCTGGGCACAGTGTTAATGAATGTACCTGTATATAAATACATAAATGAATTTTTTAGATATACTTTGCATGTGTTTTAAGAATTTACTATTAAGTTTCCATTAGGGATAACAATGTGAGGCGCTTAGATACACCTTCAATTGTAGGTAAGTTTTGGTCTCCAGGTTCGTCGGCTTCACGATCGTCATTCACGCTATCTTCGTCGACATCAATATTATGGTCGTTTTCTATTATAAGAATATTGTGCAGTATCGCACAAACCAGTATCCACCGGTACTCAAACTTCACAGAATTGTCACCCTTTATTTGAATTTTAAGTTTTTTCAAGCTATTAAAACGCTCTTTCAGTAAACCAAAGCAGTACTCAATTCTGATTCGGTACTTGCTGAAAGTTCTGTTGAACAGATTTCGTTGGTTCAAGGTGCCTTCCGTTGCGTTTGTTCTAAGAGGCGTAATGACACTCGCAGTCAATTTATACGCACTGTCACCAGCCAACCACTCTGATCCTGTAAGCATTTCAGTAGCTTTTGTAGATAGCTCGCAATTGTTATACATATATTCTGGCGTCGTGAACACTACCGGGATATCCCAAGACCATATGACGAATCAGTAATTTATGGTCACACACACACTGAGCTTTTAGTGAATATATATACTGGCGACAAAAATATGCTTCACAATCTTCACTGGGTTTTTCAGCCAATTTTATTTCAGTTCTATCTACGTAACCAACGAAATGTGCTAACTCACTAAGTGTTTCGACAACCAAAGCTCTACGTTCTATAGGGTCCGGCCAATACAGAAAGTTATTTTTCTTTTTAAGAATTGCATCAAAGACTCTGTTGGTCATGACCTAAAAATAAATTTTAAATTTAGTTTAAATAAAAATTGGAGCCGATACAAAAATAATTACTTGTATTACTCCACCATCGCTAATACCAAACAAACTTCCAATTTTGGTAATTGTTGCTCCTTCTCCACACGAACCGAGTCGGTACAGGACTACAGCCAATTGAATTCGGATAGGCAACTGCTTACATGAACGCGGACCATTGAACACATCGTCGTCTTTTATCATGTCAAGGATAAGATCAAATGTTATTTTGCTGACTCGCACAATTTCTCTAAATCTTTTTTCATCTAAATGAGGCAAAACATTTATTAAAAAGTTGGGCGATTTTGGAACAGAATTATGAACAAATGGAGATCCGTATCGAAAATATTCATTAGCTGCCATTGCAAAGCTAAAGTCTTCCATAAGTTCATCTTCCTTTTTTCGTTGAACATCTGAAATCATGCGTATTTACATACATATTTTATCATTGAATGAAAGAACACTTCAATATTACCATCACGTTTTCCGAACAGCTCCAACATTAACAGATCATTTACTAGGATTTTTTCCAAAGTTTAATAAATTTTGCTTTTTCGCTAACTTTCGGCATTTTAATTTTAATATTTTGATGCTTGAACAGCTGTTCAATAAAAGGCATTTACACATTACATTTTGAAGTGCGTTCATGTAACACAGCGCGTATATGTATAAATTTATATGGCTGGTAAATTTACACGGTTAAACGAATACCCCTAATATTTGTGCGTTAATATTTCTGCGTGGTTTTAAGCAATTATTGACACATTAAAAGGCAAAATGAAGTGTGCAGTGGCAAAGTGTAATAGGGAAAACAAAAGGAAAGCGTGCTATATAAGTTTTTTGAAGTAGAATACGTCTTACCTTACGATATGGAGGCTATGCTGAAATGTTGTAGTTGTAATTTTTAGAGCTTCACGAAAACGCTTATTGCACGAGAACTAATGAAGCGATTTCAAAGAAAAGTGTGGCATTTCAAAGACAAAATTCCAAACCTATCGACAGATACATTTCTGTTAGTAACCGTTTCGGTGTCTATCCTAGAAACAACGGTAAATATTGCCCTATTTCGGGGTCAATTTTGAGCCTTTAAAGTGCTCCAGCAGCTTATGATTTGCAGATATAACCTTCATTTTCGGGATATAGATTCTTTGGAGCAATAGAAATATTATCGTGTACAGATTTTATATAAATTCAACAAATATTGAGTATTTTAACACGTTGAGTGCCACCATACAAGCAAAAAAATAGGGCATCTCCGGCCATAAAATTTTTTTCACATAATACAATAGAATATTGTGCAACAATTCAGAATATCCGATTTTTATCAAAATATATGCAATATTCGATAAATACCCTTAATTTTTGTATACGGTGACACATTGGTCTCACGGGGCCAGGAGATTGACCATAGGTACTTATGTGCTTTTATGAGACCAACGTGTCACCACACATTCTTGTATGCACTTTGAGCCGTCTTGAGCATGTTTTAGCTTGCAACAATTCGCGTTTATTTCCGTTTGAAATTTTTTTAGTGAATAACACAGTGCTACAAAAAAAACAAAATTGAATACACTTTTGAAGCGACCTAGTAGAGATTGTTCATCTGGTCGAGTTATCCACGAAACACCCTTCAAAGGATTTGTAACACCCCCAAAATCTGGATTTAAGACCAAAAAGCCGTTTTTTCAGAGTTTTCGTTGAAAAAAAAATCATTCAAAAATTATTCCCAATATTTTCAATATGTCCCTATAGTGGATAGGGGTGTCATACACGGAGAGGGTTGGATGTATACGTTTATGTTTTCTGCATATTTGAAAAAACCGAAATCTTAGCTCCTGAAGACCTATTGCGGCAAGTCCTTAGTCTTAGAAAAAATATAATGGAGCTGACGTTCCCAAAGGCTATATTGAATAAAATAACCGAAAGTGGTGATCCTTGTGGGACCCCATTAAAGAGACTAACAGTTTTTGAATAAGAGTTATTGACCCGAACAGCGAACTTGCGGTTGTAAAGGAAAGACTTAACAACATTGTACATCCTCTCACCATTTTTCCAGCGTAATACTTTAGACATGCAGGAGAGGAGGGAAATGGGTCTGTAGTTAGAAACTAATGAGTTTTTTCTATTGGAGTAATGGAGTAAGGGAGTTTAATGACTTTTTGTTTGACATGATATGGAAGACTTTTTTGTTGTATCAAATTTGGTTTCGGTTGGACAGATATATCGTATTAGGTAGAACTAGTTTAGCCTGGAAAAAACTAGTTTGACCTAAGATCGGATTTTACCGGTAACATAGTTTACATACACAAATACAGAGGCACATCCCAGCTAGCAAAATTGCCAGAAATCTCAGATTCGTCGGCAAAAAAGTCAGAAATCTGTATGATTTTGGCCGATATCGGTCAGAGAAGCGTACAGGAAGTCTAACCGACACGAGGTGGGAAATTCTGACTTAATTTCCGACGATTCTGATGGATATCTAACAGATGTCTGACCAAATAATCATGGAAAATAAGAATTATCAGACGTGTATGCCCGAAATCGGACATAATTCGATCAGACATATCGGATAAGGAAATAAATAAAATTCTCCAGACATTTCTCCCCAAAATATGTACGAAACCTGTAAGACTTGTCTAAATAGTCAACTTTTTGTTCCGACTTGTCTGATATCAAAAATTTTCTCGCAAATGTGCTAGCTGGGATGTAACTTCCCTTCCATAAAAAATGTTAATAAAAAAATTTTCCACCATCATTGTGTAGATAGAGGATTTGGCTCTTATTACAAAATGTTATTGCAGATAGTGGAATTTTCAAAATGAGAATATAATACCATTAAAGTTATATTTTAAGTTTGACATTATTATCATGGCTGAACGATTAATTGGAGCTCACGTTACCATCAAAAACTCATTTTCACCAAAATTGCAGATAGAGGGTACTAAATATAAGCCTTCGATATATTATTTTTGAGAATAGCGGTTTTAAAAAAATTAAAGAATAACTGACACTTTATGTTCCTAATTTTAAGTTTGCCTCAAAAAAAAAAAAAAACTAGTGCAAAACAAATAGCTCTTTAGACATAAAATTAAGTATTTTTTACTTGCAAAATTGTATGCCTGCTTATTTAATTACAGTATTTAAAGAAAAGCCTCTATACTATTACTCTTAGAACTAGCTCAAAACTAACCACATTTGTTTTAGCCCGGAAGTAACCCCTTTTGAACTATCTAGGAACTGTTGTTATATGAACTGTCTCAGAACCATATAAGCCAGAGTCAGCTCAGAACCAGTTCAAAAGTTCTGCAGAGGGCGACAACTGTCACTTCGTAGACATCGCCATGTTAAAACAGACAGTTGAAAGCATTGAGTTGGGATAGATGAAGAACCAGTACCGTCCCTTTTTCTGGCTAGCTCAGCGCAAGCTCTGAACCAGTTTGATTTGCTGAAGGAAAAAAGAAGCAAATAAAGCAAAAAATGCTACTTTTCAGACTGGGTTAGATCACTAAATATTAATAAAGCGAAAGCGCACACCCGAAAAAAATGGAAAACTAAGTCCACTTCAGGTACATCTACATCAGCGGAGAATAATCGTTTTAGTATTCTCGCTGATACGAATGATGATTCTCACCAACAGGTAGTTATAAAATACAAGCCTCCACCTATTTATCTACGAGAACAAAAGTTCTAATGCTCTGGTAGATACTCTCCTGAAACTAGTAGGGAAAAATAATTTTCATGTAGTTCGTATTAAAAAGGGTAATATACACGAAGTGAAAATTCAGGTTCAAAACGAAAATATTTTTCGTAAAATTGCCAATAAGTGTAAGAAATCTTATTACACCTATCAACTTAAAATTAGTCGAGGACAAGAAGTTGTCATAAAAGGCTGGACTCGATGCCTGAACTCACAAGATATAGAAAATGGTCTTACGGAAGAAGGTTTTAAGGTGCGCAATATTTTCAACTTCAAAAATAAAGAAAACATCCCTCAACCGATGTTCAAAATACAGCTAGAACCTGACTTTCATAACCTGAATGAAGGGGAAGTGCATCAAATATACCAATTGCGATATCTTCTACACAGTAGAATCTCCGTAGAAGAACCCCATAAGCGTAGAGGCCCTGTTCAATGTCATAACTGCCAGGAATTTGGCCACACACGTCGCTTCTACACCTTACCTAGTGTCTGTGTCGTCTGTATCTGCGGGGATTTACACACTTCCAAAGAATGTGTGAAACCAAAAATGGACCCGAAATCCAAAAAGTGCAGTAACTGCGGTGGAAATTACACTGCTAATTATAGAGGTTATCCAGTTAATATCTCAATGAAAGAGAAAACAATTCCCAAAAATATTCCTATTAGGCATAATCCCATAACAGAAATCGCTAAGCCTATGACTGTTAATCATTCTACTTCTTATGCACAAATGCTGAAAAATGCTCCTCCGACACAACCTCTCGCGCGATTTTTTATTAAAAAGTTTCGCCTGCGCCGCTTTTTTTATAAAAATCAATACTTCGATAAATAATTCAAATTTTTATTAAAATCAATACTTAGCCTGCGGCGCTTTTTTACGTAAAACAGTATCTAAATATAAAATGAAAATTTTGAATGAAAAAACTCCGACTTTTTTTTTACTATTTTAATCATCGGGCAGCACCAACATCTGTGTTCATTTCCAACACTTGCATGTAATCAATGAAATATTTATGGTGAATAGTGCAACTTTAACAGTTAATAACTTTTTAATTAGAAGCCTCCGCGGTCTGGGGTCTTGACTTTTAGAATCTCATTTTCTATTTTTCAAAATGTAGAATGAATTTAAGGAAAATTTTCCCTTAAAAACTACAGTGCAAATGAAATTTATGATTTTCGATTTTAATAAATTCGTTAACATTATTTTAAATGAATTAATAAAGTCGTTAAATAATAATTCAAAATTTTATATAATTTAGATATTTATAGAATTAATAAAATATATTGAGGATTATTTATTTCATATTAACTCAAGGAAAGACTTAAGATACGAACTTGAGTTGAAATAGTTTTGTTTAACGTTAAATAACCATTAAATTAAATTAATACCACTGAACGTATAATGATAAAGTACGTTGCAATTTAAATTTAAAAATATAAATCAGCAGTAAAAGTTATACTGATTCCAAAAATATCAGCTCACCAATCTGAAGATATATCATGAAAACAAAAGTAAATAATTGTTGTGTTCCTTGTCTATTTGATTGTGATGTACAACTGCCGTCGCCAATTATTTAAAAATAAGCGCCAATATAATGCTGTATTTCATGATTGTGAAAATGTTGCTAACGTCGAAGTCAGTGCTCAAACTTACAAAAAGTTAAAAGATGTAGATTTTACATACAAAAAATGGTAGAAGTTGGTAAATGTTAAAAAAACCCCTAATTAGATAGTTTTTACTCGTATCTATAGCGTAAATCAAGGCGTATTCATAAATGGTGGTATTACGAGAGCAGCTCGATTTTCGCCTCGGTGGTTCTTTATGTAAAAATTGTGTAGTTGTTGTGATTCTTACTGTCCGGTACTATTTGTTTTTGTACTCCTGCTATCACCTTATATGAATTCGCCTTGAGATAAATTATATTTTTTTTATAAAACAACAAAACTATATATTTTAAGCAAATAAAACATTCAACAAAAAACGCATAGATTAAACTGGTGCCGAATCATGGCATTCATGATCGAATGAAACTCTTTTCATATCGAATGAAATAAAATGGCAGCTGTTTTCTCTCAAATACATTTTAAATTGAAAACGCGAAAAGCCGTAATCTCAAAAAGTAAATTCTATTCGAATTTGATTCGATCACGGATGCCATGATTCGGGCCTGATAAAGATGCAATCTCACTTTTAAACACTGATCTCCGCTCAAACATCGTTATCGACATCCATGCATATAACACTGTGTCGGTAACGTCGGCATCAATGTTTAACTGGGGAATAGTGTTAACCAGAGTTGTTGAAAACGGTCCTTAAATTGGTTATGGTTAGAGTTAACTTTTCGTTTTTATTTTAGGTGTGTTCGATGCAAAGAAGAGGATGGTTCCGTGCGCAGAAGTGGAAAACTTTTGACTGCCATTCACCTGCGAGTGGCCAGAAGCGATTCTTGTGCGTACGGTTCAAATCGCAGCTCACAACGTCCGGATATTTATATCCACGTATCCTCTGGGTAGCAACCAAACACCCGTTTGGGAGCGAGCTAAAGTGAGAAGGCGTAAAACTTCGCGTGCGCTGGGTTTGGGTTGATGTCCTCGGGGAGACAAAGGCTGACATCATGCGATGGACGGGGCCAGGAAAAGTAAGCGTGAAGCCTTGCGACGTCTACTACAGTTGCCACGTAAAGGAGCGCAAATTCGGTGTTGGATTCGTGGTAGGAGAGAGACTCCGTCGCCGAGTACTGGCGTTCACCCCGGTGGACGAACGTCTAGCCACAATCCGCATCAAAGCTAGATTCTTCAACATCTCGCTCATCTGCGCCCATGCCCCGACGGAAGAGAAGGATGAGGCGTCCAAGGATCTCTTCTATGAGCGCTTGGAACGTACATATGAGCGCTGCCCCCGACACGATGTCAAAATCGTGCTTGGCGATTTTAATGCCAAGGTGGGCAAGGAAGGGATCTTTGGCGCCACTGTCGGAAAATTCAGCCTCCACGACGAAACGTCCGATAACGGACTGAGGCTGATCGACTTCGCCGGGGCCCGAAATATGGTATCGTACTGTACTAGGTTCCAGAATAAGAACATCCACCAAGCTACATGGCTGTCTCCAGATCGAAAAACGAGAAACCAAATCGATCATGTTGTGATAGACGGAAGGCATGCTTCAAGCGTTTTGGACGTACGTACACTCCGAGGGCCAAACATCGACTCGGACCACTATCTTGTTGTAGCCAAGATACGCACCCGCCTCTGTGCAGCAAAAAATGTGCGCCCAACAATGCAAGGAAAGCTTAACGTCGAAAAGCTGCAATCACAACAGGCGGCCAGCTTATTCGCCACTCGACTCACACACCTGCTCTCTGAGAGCACTCTTCAACAATCCGACGTACGCGAGCAGTGGAACCACATTTCCCGATCATTAAGTACCGCCGCCGAAGAAGTAGTTGGATTTCAGCGAGCCCGAAAGAACAACTGGTACGATGAGGAATGTCAAGAAGCCGCAGAGAAAAAAGATGCCGCCTACAGGGCCACGCTTCGATCCGGGGCAACGCGAGCCATGTGGGACCGTTATAGGGAACTGAAAAAGGAAGCGAGACGTATTTGCCGCAATAAGAAGACAGAGGCCGAAATACGTAAGTGCGAAGAGCTTGAGATGCTGGGCGACCGGGAGAACGCCTGAAAATTCTACCAGAGGGTTAGACGACTTACGGAAGGTTTCAAGACCGTGGCGAACTCCTGTAAGAACAACAATGGCGACCTAGTGACCGATGTCCAGAATATACTTAAATTGTGGAGGGAACACTTTTATAACCTACTGAATGGTAGCAGCGCTGAAAGTAGTGAGGAAGACGAACCCGAGTCCCCAGTCGATTATGATGGAGTAGCTGTCCCACCGCCTGACTATGACGAGGTACGAATAGCGATTACGCGGCTGAAAAACAACAAAGCTGCTGGAGCTGACGGCCTGCCAGCCGAGCTATTCAAGTACGGCGGCGAGGAGCTGATGAGGTGCATGCATCAGCTCGTATGCAGAATATGGTCAGATGAACGCATGCCCGACGACTGGAATTTAAGTGTGCTCTGCCCAATCCACAAGAAAGGCGACCCCGCCATACGCGCCAACTACCGCGGAATTAGCCTTCTAAGCATAGGTTACAAGGTCTTATCGAGCGTATTGTGCGAAAGACTGAAGCCCACCGTCAACGAGCTGATTGGACCTTATCAGTGTGGCTTTAGGCCAGGCAAATCCACCATAGATCAGGTATTCACAATACGCCAAATCTTGGAAAAGACCCGCGAGAATAGGATCGACACACACCATCTATTTGTCGATTTCAAAGCCGCTTTCGACAGCACGAAGAGAAGTTGCCTTTATGCCGCGATGTCTGAATTTGGTATCCCCGCGAAACTAATACGGCTGTGTAAAATGACGTTGAGCAATACCACCAGCTCCGTCAGAATAGGGAAGGACCTCTCCGAGCCGTTTGATACCAAACGAGGTTTCAGACAAGGGGACTCCCTTTCGTGTGATTTCTTTAATCTTATGTTGGAGAAGATAATAAGAGCCGCAGAACTGAACCGCTCAGGCACAATACTTTATAAGAGCGTACAATTGCTGGCGCCGTATGCCGACGTCATTGATATTATCGGTAAAAAAGGCTACGTCTGTTCTACCTTCTCGGGATTGGATAGAGAAGCAAAGCGAATGGGTCTGGTGGTGAACGAGGACAAAACGAAGTATCTCCTGTCAGCACACAAACAGTCAGAGCATACGCGTCTTGGCACCCACGTCACTGTTGACAGTTACAAGTTTGAAAAAGTAGACGACTTCGTTTATTTGGGAACCAGCATTAACACCAATAATAATGTCAGCCTTGAAATCCAACGGAGAATCACTCTTACCAACAAGCGCTACTTTGGGCTGAGTAGGCAATTGAGAAGTAAAGTCCTCTCTCGTCGTACAAAGATCACACTTTATAAGTCACTCATCATGCCTGTGCTGGTGTATGGCGCGGAGGCATGGACAATGAAAGCATGTGATGAGGCGGCTCTTGGAGTTTTCGAGAGAAAGATTCTGCGAAAGATTTACGGACCTTTACGCGTTGGTGATGGCGAATATCGCGATTTAACGATGAGCTGTATGAGCTTTACCACGATATAGACATAGTACGGCGAATTAAAAATCAGCGGCTCCGCTGGCTTGGCCATTCCGTTCGAATGGACAGAAACGCTCCTGCTCTGAAAATATTCAACGCGGGTCGCGATTCTGTTAACAGAGGAAGAGGAAGGCCTCCTCTGCGTTGGAAGGACTAGGTGGAGAAGGACTTGGCTTCACTTGGCATTTCCAATTGGCGTCAGTTAGCACAGAAGAAAAATGACTGGCGTGCTGTTTTGGACTCGTCCAAAATAGCTTAGGCGGTTACAGCGCCAATAAAGAAGAAGAAGTTTTCGATGACAAAATATGTATACATTGGTCGAAGTTGATAATCGACGATACTGATCAAAGATAACAGACCTCTATCTCGATTGAAATCGACGCTATATCGTTTTTTCAGGTGTTTCTACTGCTACAGCAATGTATAGACTCGAAAATATACAATTTCGATTGGATACAAAAAGCAGGATCGAGAATAAAAATAAAGTAGCATTACAAAAGGTTTATAAATGAAAACGTAAATTTATAATGCTTTTTAAAACTACTTCATTTCTTATGAATAAGGCCATTATTTTAATTAATATATAGAAAAATTCCAATTGAGTATGTTAAATATTTATTTATTAAAAAGTAATAAAAAATTTTCTCTTTGAACAACCAAGGCGAATTTATACAAGGTGGTATCGGTTGAGCAAAAACAAATATTACAACAACAAATTATACGCACAATAACGGAAAGAAGTACCTCAAAAATACAACAAACACTTCATTTTGACATTCAGAAGGAACGCGGCGAATTCTAGAAACACCACCTTGTATAAATTGTTGAACAACTATAAAAATCAAAGAACAATAAATTGTACCAATAAAAATTATATACAAAAGAATAAGGTACAAGTGCCCGACAAAGGTAAAATTATGTCAGGATTTACTCCTGGCTTGCTCTCAATTGTCTGGTTATAATTTTTATTCGGTTTACAATGAAAGATCACATACATATTGGAAGAATAATAATCCTGGTTTTAAAAATTGCATATTAACTAACATATTTTTTTCCAACGGGAACAAAGATTAGCTTACGCTGCATTTAGGCCAATGTGAGGTGCTAGTTTGCTCATTTTCTTCAGGTTGAGGTAAAAATGGTATGGTCCCATTTTTTTGCATACCCATTTTCAAGCGTTCCGCTTCTGTCACTGCAAAACCAAAAATTCAAAATATTTACATATTTTTAATATAAGGCTGTCACGATTCAAAGCGCGACATATTCGAGATGATGAAGAATTACTAAGTATATCATGATTCATATTATTTAAAAATTTCTTGCTAAAATTTTGTGCAGACTCCGCTTTAGAAGCGAATATGCATACTGAATAGAAATTCCAGATCGAAAAAAAATCGATTTTCGAACCGATTCGAATCGAAATGATTAATTTTTACAAAAAATCAAAACACAGCGATCTGAGCAAACTTATATTGTAAGTAATTTTAAAACATACATACACTGTTCATAACGGTTTCAATATCTAGAGTTATTTGAAAAAAGTGTGAGATTATTTTTTTCTGTATGAGGGCAACAATATGTTCAATGCCGAGCTTAGTAGGGATGTGCGAAATCATTTAATCGAACAAGATGATTAATCGAAAGCGATTTTTCCGATTAATTACATATTGATTAATCAGAATCTAATTAATTTGATTAATCAGCAAACTGATTAATCATAACGTGATTAGCCAGAAATCTGAGTAATTGCTGTTAAATTTTAAAATTTGTTTCTTAAAAACATATATACATATGTATGTATACAAAAATAGAAAAGAATTTATACTTATGTACATATGTACGTATTTTTCATTTTAATGATCTACATACATATGCATATATTTACGTCTGTAAGTACTTGTTTGGCATTTTATTTTTATTAATAAGAAAAATATTTGTACATACAAAAAAACATAAAAAAGACATCAACAAAATTGTTCAGATTTCAATAAATTTTTTTTTTTGGTAAACATTAGTTACTCAGGATCTGATTAATCAGAATCTGATTAACCAGATCATTTAGTTAAAGAGGATTATGATTAATTATAAACTTGATTAACCGATTAATCGTACATCCCTAGAGCATAGTCATAAATTTTTTTTCATTTAATGCCTAGTGAAACCTCAACATTAGCCCTATTTAAGAAAATTGTAAAAAATTTGCCCCTATTTTTGGAAGTGTATTATGGAATGGGGCTTACGTAGACATATTTTTTTGCAATTCGGAAGTTTTTTATTTTTATTTTTTTGTTTTCGGTGACCACATTATAAATATACCCTTAAGAAAACTTTTTCTACAAAATTGCATACATACTAAATTTTTTTCTGAAATGAGTAATTAAGGAGTGAACACTTTTTATGAAAATTTGTATAAAGTTTGGAATTCAAATTTCTGGAGCTCTTGTTGTAGTATTCGCCATAATTTTATATAGAGTTATTTTTAAGAAGCTTCCCTAGGGAGAAGTAGAGAAAGTAGGTCATTGAATTTTTTGGTCTTTTTCGATTTAAAATGCGCTTTTAATTAACAAATGTATTTGATTTGTGATTTGGTTTGCTAAGTTTTATTTGTGGTTTGCTTGACCAACCAAATAAGAGATAAATTATATTTGTAATTTGATTCGTCAACCAAATCAGAATGAATCGCCCTCCAATTCAGAAACCAAATTTATATGTGATTTGATTCGTAGAGAGAATCATTTGATTTGCGACAAGACTTTCAAGATTTTTAAACTTTTTCGGAATTTTTTTGACTTCTTCGAAATTTTGAGGATTTTTGGGAATACTTCGAAATTTTCGGGGTTCTTGGGAATACAGCGGGATTTTCGGGACTATTTCGGATTCTTCGAGACTACTTCGAGATTTTTGGGTTAATCGGGACCATATTGGGATCTTCGGGATTTTGAGTTTTGCGAGACTACTTCGGGATTTTCGGGGTTCTTGGGACTGTATCGGGATCTTCGGGACTACTTCGGGCTATTTGGACTATTTCGCGATTTTCGAGACTTTTCGGAATTATTTCGGGTTTTTCGAGACTACTTCCGAGATTTTCGGTGTTTTTGGGACTATAACGAAATTTTTGGGACAACTTCATGATTTTCCGGGGTTCTCGGGAATATATCGACATTTCTGGAACTATTTCGTATTAGTCGAGACTACTTCGAGATTTTCGGGTTATCGGGACCATACTGGGATCTTGGGGACATCTCGGGAATTTTGGGACCAATTCCAAGGTTTCGGGACTATTTCCAGTTTTTCGAGACTATTTCTAGATTTTCGGGCTTCTTGAGACTGTATCGGGATCTTCGGGACTACTTCGAGGTATTTGGATTCGAGACTTTTCGGGATTATTTCGGGATTTCGAGACCAATTCGGATTTTTTGGTACTATTTCGGGATTTTCGAGACTTTTCGGCATTATTTTGGGTTATCGAGACCAATTCGAATTTTTTGGTACTACATATTTCGGGTTTTTCGAGACTGATTCGAGATTTTCGGGTTTATCGGCACTATATTGGGATTTTTGGACTATTCCGAGTTTTGCGAGACTTCTTCGGGATTTTTTCTCGGGGGTTCTCGGGTTTTTCGAGATTGTCTGGTTTTTGGGACCATATCGAGATCTTCGAGGCTACTTAGAAATGTTTAAACTATTTTGGGATTTTTGGGACTAATTTTCGAGTTTTTCGTAATAAATTCGAGATTTCAGTTCGAGTTCTCGGGACTATATCGGGATTTGTGGACTACTTCCGGATTTTCGCGACCTCTTCGAGATTTTTAGGACTATTTCGGGTTTTCCGAGACTACTTCGAGATTTACGGGATTCTCGGGACTGTGACGGTATTTTTGGAACTATTTTGGGAATTTCAATATAGACCCGGAAACCCCGAAAATTTCGAGGTAGTCTGGAAAACCCCGAAATAGTCCAAAAAATCCCCAAGAGGTCTCGAAAATCCCTAAGTAGACCAAAAATCCCGATATAGACCCGAAAACGGCGAAAATCTCGAGGTAATCAGTAGTATTGAAAATACCGAAATAGTACCACAAAATCCGAATGGTCCCAAAAATCCCGAAGTAATACCGCAGATCCCGATATGGTCCGAGAACCCCAAGAGTACCAAAATTGTCTTGAAAACCCCGAAATAGTCTAGAAAATCCCGAAGAATTCTCGAAAATCCCGAAATAGTCCAAAGATCCTGAGATCCGCCGAGAGAAAATCCCGAAGAAGTCTCGCAAAACCCCAAGTAGTCCAAATATGGGCCCGATAACCCCGAGCATACCGAAGTTGTCTCGAAAAACCCGAAATAGTCCACAAAATCCCGAAGAATTATCGAAAATCCCGATATAATCGAAAAACACCCGAAAATATCGAGATAGTCCTAAAAATTCAGACCTAGTCCCAAATATTCCGAAGTAGTTGCGTTGCCTAAAAAAATATTATTTAGTTGAAAACTCACAAATCAAACGATTCGCTCTACAAATCAAATCACAAATATATTTGATTTCTGATTTGAAGGGCGATTCAAATCACAAATCAATTTTATTTCTGATTTGGAGGGCGATTCAAATCAAAAATGACTTGGATTTCTTATTTCAGAAATAAATTTGATTTATGGATTTGTGATTTGACTAAATCAAAATCACGCAACCCTGGTGCATACAGATATGTACATATGTAATACGATTCTTAACTGTAACATGATAAAAAATAGAAAATAGCTCCATAAAAAAATTTTTTGGCGGATACAGGCATTTCATGAAGTTTCATAAATTTTACATATTACATTGGTGATAATTAGACTGCAGATTTTTATGCACAAAACGAAGCCTAGAAATATGTACCACTTAACTATAAACAAAATAAATGAATTTGTATACATTTTGGTTATAGTTATGGGGTACATATTTTTTAGCTTTGTTTTCTGCATAAACATCCGCAGTCTAGTAATAATAAAGTATAAACGATCGTATTTCTTGATGAGAGTTTCTATTATTTATATTGGACCTTGACCGTAGTCCCTGAATACATAGTACGCATGAAAAAAGGTTGTTCCACCTCACAGTTTGTTACGAATACTGGGCCTTTTTTTATCATTATTAGGTCGGCCCTTTATAAAAAAACACACGCCGTTTGATATGTACCAGTAGTATTAAAACCAGACTGCGAATGTTCATGCAGAAAACGAAGCCTAAAAATATGTACCCCAAACTACGGGGTTGGTCCCAGTAGTAACCGACCTAACCTAACACAAAAATTTTGGGAAAAAATATATTTATTTTTCAACATAATCTCCTTTCAGCTCTATACACTTTTCCCAGCGATGCTCAATAAGTTCGATACGCCTTTTATAATAAGAACTGTATTGCTCCTCAAAATAGACATAAACTGCCGATATCATTTCTTCATCGTTAGAAAATCTTTGACCACGGAGCCATTTTTTGAAGTTGGGGAACAGAAAATAGTCCGAGGGGCTGAATCTGACGAACAGGGTGCATGAGGTAGCAATTCAAACATCAATTCATTAATTCGCTAAACACTCAATTGAAACCTCTTCACGACACTGTTTTTGACCGAGTGTGGGAAAATGCGGCACCCATCTTGGACACAGCTTTCTCATTTCCAATTCTTCAGATAATATGCAAGTCCTGGTAACAGAGGATGAGGTAGGCCTCCTCTGTGTTGGAAAGATCGGGTGGAGAAGGACTTTGCTTCACTTGGCATTTCCAATTGGCGTCAGTTGGCATAGAAGAGAAATGACTGGAATGCTGTATTGAACGCGGCTAATAAAGAAGAAGAAGAAGAGACCCACCTACTGCAGACTTTCCAAGGATGGTTATAGGCTGATAATAACTTCGATATATCAAGGAAGCGTGCCACATCCCACAGAAATCTAATTTTTCATACCGCATATCTCTGGAAGTATTTGTGGTAGACCCCTAAAACTTGGTACGGAAATATTTGAAATCAATCTCATACTCATGGAGAAAAGTGGGGGCTATTGAAAAAGGGGCGTGGTGCCTTCCAAAACTATTGAAACTTTTACCTATTTGTAAATACTAGTATCGCCCAGTTGTCGAAATTCGACATCTTTTTTCATACACTTTTGAATTTTACCTATAACCAATACTAAATAGTTTATGCGAATTACTATTTTGCAGC